GCGACCCACAGCCTGCGAGCCACCCTCGCACATAAACAGTCTGCGCCTGCAGCGGGCTTCTTCAGAGCTTCGCAGACGACGTTCCCGCCGCCCCACCACTCTTACCAGCAGCTTCGGAGCGCTAATGTAATACATCTTTCGCTGCCAGGGGAGCCTCGTTTTTTCGAAGTACGGGGCTAACGTTAGGGGAGGGGGGGGGATACAGCGGGTCCAGCATGGGGATCAGTCGCTCCAGAGCCTCCCCGAACGCTCTGAGAAGGCCATGGTGCAGCGATACGTCCCGCGCATCCGCCGGATCTCGAAGGCTCCCTACAGATCCCGAGCGGTCTTCGCCCCGATCCTGCCTCTGCTCGCAGGGATCGGGAGCGAAGGACGCCAGGGGAGGGGCGTGGCGACGAGGCGCGAGGGCGAGCAGGAGGAGCGCCCTCCCCTTCCATCCGTCCTCGATCCTCCTCCCCCTCGTTGGATCGAAGGGAAGGGGGAGGGGCAGGAGGAGGGAGAGTTGGAGGAGGAGGAGGAGGAGGAGGAAGAGGAGGAGGAGGAGGAGGAAGAGGAGGAGGAGGAGGAGGAGGAGATAGAAGGATGAGGGGCATGAGGAGGAGGAGGAGGCAGAGGGCCGCCGCGCCCGGCTGTGGTGGGTGGAGCTCGGAGGCGTTCAGTCTTGGGGGGGGGGGCTTTCGGAGGCTCCCGGATCGCTTCGTAGGGCTCGCGGCAGGGCTGGACCTGAACGGTGTTCTGGCGATTTCGTGGACCGTTTTCGGTTCGACTTCGTCTTGCGGTGGAGGCGGATGGAAGACGGAGAACAAGGAACAATGAAACCAAACCGAAGACGAGAAACATTGTTTAGGTCCAGCACTGGCTCACAGGCAGCTGCGCCTCGTCGAGAGGCCTTCCAGGAAGTGCCTGGATCACCCTGGAGGGCCGCCGGAGGCCCAGAGTGATGCCTTGGAGGTTACCGGGACGACGAGGGGCGAGGACGAGGGACGGTCTCTTCCTCCCGGATCGATCCGCCTCTGAATGGACCGAGGAGGAGGAGGAGGACGGAGCCGCCACCAGCGTCAGCGCCATGGGAGCCTTGTGTGCCCTCGCAATTTCATGTTTTGAGTGCGTCAGCTTGCGCTAGCGCCTGCTCATCGATGAAGAAGTGCCGACTCAGCGTCGACTGGCTTCGATTGGCGTCGAGTTGCGTCGATCAGGGCTGCTTCGCAAGAGCAGACAAGATGGTATGGTACAGTGGAAACCCATGCCAAGAAACACCTTGCTTGCCTCCAGTGTACCCTGGGTTTCTTGGGTTTCGATCGTTTCGCTACGGAGAGCGTGACGCTCCCGCACCAAAAGTCAATGGACATTCTGGGATCTCAGGGCTGGGCTTCTTGTGGAAGGTTTCTTGTGCTCGAGCTCCTGCTGTAGTATGCCGTGAGCTGCTGCAGAAGAGGAGGACCGATGCCAGATGCCCGAGGATCGAGATGCGGGGGTGTGCGTGCCCTCCCGTGGGGCCTGCTGTCGCGGGCAGCGTTGGGTCCGCTGCGAGGTGCTGGCCATGTAACGCGCCCCAACTGGACCGCCGCGAGGGTTGCCAGCAGAGCAGGGGGTCAATCGGTGTCATGGCGCCAACATTCGCTGAGCGGATTTCGTCCGGAAGACGATGGGATGGATCCAGAGTGTCCTTGAGAATTTCGTTCCGGGTTTCGTGTTGAATTTCGTTCGGATTGTTTTTTCTCGCCGTTTCGGGGTTGTGCATTGACAAGTCCACGCACAGATCCGCTGGAGCACGTCTGCAATGTCGGTGCAGTGAGTGGATGCGAAGGTGGGTGCAATCTGGCATCACCTAACTTAGCATCATAAATGGTGGGTTTTCAGTGCCCTTTCGGGGGGGAGTTGGCGGATCGTTCGCCACCCTTGGCATCTGGGGGCACTTGTAGCCCACCTGTAAGTGAGGTCAGGCCAGTATCTGGGTAGTCGAAGGCCAGACTGTCAGATTGGACTGGGCCCCAAGGGCCAATCTGGCCCGGCCAAACTGGATGATTTGGGTTATTCGCCAGACTGGATTCGCGTTGGCCCCTTCGCCAGATTGCCCCCGTTTGCCAGATTGGGCCTGCCAGATTGGCGCCAGATTGGCTTCGACTACCCAAGGTTTGGGACTCGGGTCGTTCTCCGAGGACGTCTCAGGCGACAGGGGCCTCCGGGGTCCCAAAACCGTGCGGCGACGGACCGTGCGGGATGAGGTCTCTTGGGGTTCCGAGGTCACCGCACGGTCTGTCACCGCACCGTTTCGGGACTCCCAATCCCTGCCCCTTCCCCCCTTCGCCCCCCCTCCGCTTTCTGTTCGGCGTCACCCCGACATACTAATACTATGTTGTGCGTCGCCCCCACCAGGGGCGACGCGCGCTCCGAGCAATCTGATAGTATATGCGCGGTGGGGGGCGCTTTTTGGCCACACCGATCAGGAAATGATGTACTGCAAGATGGGTATACTACATGTTCGGGTCGGACGCGCGCCTCCGAGGAGGACATATAGCATTAGTGTGTCTCTGCGCGTCCATTTTTTGTTAGTCCATCATGGAATGTCGTGGAGTTTCCCTCCCAGTGCCTGCGCGTGCTCATCCTCGGCGTCTCGTGGCTCCGCGAACCCTGGGCACGCGTTCTGTAGCATCAGATCACACTGTGATGGCGTCTCCATCTCTCTCCTTGGCATCGCTCGGACGTGTGCCTTTTTTCTCGGTAAGAACCATCGAGCACCATCCTGGACCATCGAGCAACAACAAAAAAAACATCCACCTGGGTAGTCGAAGGCCAGACTGTCAGATTGGATTGGGCCCCAAGGGCCAATCTGGCCCGGCCAAACTGGATGATTTGGGTTATTCGCCAGACTGGATTCGCGTTGGCTCCCTCGCCAGATTGCCCCCGCTTGCCAGATTGGGCCTGCCAGATTGGCGCCAGATTGGCTTCGACTACCCAGCCCACGAAACCGAAACATGCACGGGAAACGGACGTCCGAGCGACGGCGAGTCTCGCTCGCCCCTGCTCCGCCCTCCCCCTGCGCAGTCTCCCCTGGCCCGTCGTGCCTGCGCCACGCTCCTCCTCCCCGCCCTCCTCTCCAGGAGTCTTCCCCCCCTCGGGGCCGGCCCCGCAGAGTGGTGGTCGCGGTGGGCCCCCCGGAGGAATAAGACAGGGTTGGGATCGGGACAAATCGCTCCAGAGCGTTCCGGAGCGCTCTCAGAGCGTTCCGGGGCGCTCTGGAGCGGCCGCGGCGCCCAATGCATCCTCCAAACCCGCCGATTCTCGGAGATTTCGAGCGATCCCGATCCGATTTTGTCCCGGTCTTCGCGCCGTTTTGCCACAGCGCGGCGGCACTGCACCTGCGGGTGGTGCCCGCGCTGCCTGGCCGCCGCTGCGGGCCCCTCTCTCTCTCGCCTTCGGCGGTGTGCTTAGGGCCTCACATCGACGCCTGCTAGCTCGCTCGCTCGCTCGCTCATCCCTCTCCTTTAGGTGGCCAGATGCGAACCCTACCCCTACCCCCTACGATTTCTGAGGGGCAGGGTGGGGTTCACTTAATTCAGAAGCTCCCGAGCGAAGTGAACCCCACCCTCCCCCTCAGAAATCGTGGGGGGTAGGGGTAGGGTTCGCAAGTGACCCGCTATCCTTTCCTCCTCCGTCGGCGTCCACGTGCTCTCCGTTCCCCTCCCTCCCACCGCGCTCCCCCCTCCCCCTCTTGATTCCCCTCAGGCTCCCGTGGAGCCCCGGAGACCTCTCCAGGATGATCTGGGCACAAGACGAGGACCGAGAACTCTCTCCTCTGTCGTCCTCCCCCCCTCCCACCCTCCCTCACTCTGACTCCCCCATTTTCCTTCCCCCATTCCCTCTGTCTTTGCTCGATCTCTCCATGTTTCTCCCATGCACCCTCCCTCCCTCCTGTGGCTTCTCCCCTCCTCCCTCCCCCCCCCCCCGGTCATGCCCTCCCTATTCTTCTGCATTCACCAAGCAGCGTTTGATTTGCGGGGTCTATACTTATGGTACGTATGGTCTCTGGGCCTGGGTGGTGGTCTGGCGGCTTGAGTGTCGCCGTCGCTGGCCCGTCACCGCACGTCGTTTGGGCTTGGGTTGCGGACTGGTGGTTGTGTTGTCGCCGTCGTTGCCGCCGCAACATATATATATATATATACATGTGTATATACATATGCGTACATACATACATACACACATACACACATACATACACATACACATACAGCGTATACATACATGTCTACACACATACATACATACACCTACACACAAACGTACATACATGCGTGCATACATACAAGCAAACATACACGCATACATACATACATACGTACATACATACATACGTACGTACGTACGTACATACATACATACAAACATACATACATACATACATATATTCATTCATGCAAACACACATACATGCATACACGCATACATACATACACACATACATACACATATACCCACATACGCACATACATCAATATATCCATACATGCATACATGAACACAACCATACATGTAGACATGTATGCATGCAATCATTCACACATACATACGTACATACGTGCGTATGTATGTATGTATGCATATGCATGCATGTATTCGTTCATTCATTAATTCATACCTGTATACAACATATGTATATAACACCCTCGCCAGATACACACACATGTATACATATATATACATATATATATATATATACCGCACATCATATGATATACCACACGTGTTGCACCACAGTGTTCGCACATCATAGATGGCATCACACATAATGCACAACGTGGAATATCTCACGGAAGCTGCACCACGTAGAGTTCTACACATACATGGCACATAATATATTGCACCGTGCTGGCTGTGCCACATGTTTCCCTTCACGTATACCGCTCAACACCGATCCCACCACATAACTTACACCGCATACATTGTTCCACATCCAGTGCACAACATGTATTGCGCGTCGGTCAACGGTGTTTCGTGTAGGCCCTCATTTCCCTCCATCCCTGCCTGCCGCTCCACCTCCGCCTTTGGCCGTGCCTCCTCATAGCTGTATTGGGCCGGCGTCGCGGCTTGCCTGGGAGGACTGCCCTGCAGTCGGGGGGGAGCCATGCCGCCGAAGAAGTCAAAGTTCTTCTCCGCCGACGGACGGGGGGGACGAGGGACACGAGAGGATGCGGTGGGCGAGGGGCGGAATGTTGAGGAGCGAAGGGGCGCGGGAGGGAAGGGGAGAGGGAGGGAGGACAGGGGGACAGAAGGACAAAGGGATGGCATAATGGAGGCGGCGAGGGAATGGTGGGAGGAGGGTGGGTGGGTGGGGGGGGGGTGAGAGGCAGGGCATGTTTAAGTGGGGGACGGAGGGGAGTTTGGTGGCGGGGATCTTGGGACTGTTGCATGGAGGGAGGGAGGGAGGGGGAGGTTGGAGCGGGGTGCTGGGGAGGTGATGAAGATGAGACCAAAGGACGAGAGGGGAAGAGGATGAAGAGGGGGACGCTGATGGGAAGGCGGCAGTGTGGGGAGAAACGTGACTGCAGTCGGGGCGAAGACCAGGAAGGGAACGAGGTTTTGGACTAGGAGGGGAGGAATGAGGAGGCAGAGTGACGCGAAGGAGGCGGCAGCGAAGTTTCAGTCGTCAGAGAAGACTCGAGGGTGACCAGGGCTGTCAAAGAAGCCAGGACAGTCGAAGGGTTCAGGACTGTCAAAGGCTTCCATTGTTCGTTGCAAAATTTGGCCAATGATGTTGTCGCGCCTTGCAACCATGTGTGGTCTTGTTTGTTCGATCGTGTAAGGGTTGGTCGTCGGAAAGAAGGAGGCAGAGAAGGAAACGGACGGCGCATTCTTTGTTGTATCCCCGTGAGGCACAGCCAGGAGGACGCGCAGGCCAGTTGGCCAGCAGCTGGTATCTTTAGTTGTACATGGTACTCTGCCGGTGTCGGCCCGTTGGGCGTGTTGAAGTGATGGCGCTATGTTTGGGATCTCCTTTGCCGTTTTGGAGCGTCGGGAAGCCGAAAAAGGCAGAACCGCTAAAATCTAACAAAACGCAGCACATGTTCAATACATGTTGCCTCTGAGGGCCCTCCTGAGTGCTATTGGAGGCCTCTTGGGGCGTCTTGGAGGCGTCCTGGGCTGTCTGGAGAACATCTTGGGCATCTTGGAGCAATCATTCTGCGCCCCTCTCGGAGCATCTTGAACCTGATCTGCCGAAGGGGGGGCCAAAATTGTTTGAAGGCAGCCCGAAAATGGAAGGAGTGGACCGTGTTCTGACCAGGGCCCCCCCCACCCGGGACACCCCCCTGGGTGGGGAAGGGATCAAAAGGACGGGATTTCCTCTCGAATCGATTGCGACTTCGATTTCAACCTGGCTCGATCGACATTCAGTTGACGAGTTTGGCGCGCCAAGGAGGGTCTCGGGAGAGCCTCCGGGAATGGAATAGCACATCGAGTGAAAGACATTTTAGGGACACTTGGGGATGATGGACACAGAATTCCCCCTCACTCTCCTCCTCCTCCTCCTCCTCCTCCTCCTCCTCCTCCTACTCCTACTCCTACTCCTACTCCTACTCCTCCTCTTCCTCCTCCTCCTCCTCCTCCTCCTCCTCCTCCTCCTCACTCGCGCCGACAGGGTCGGCGGATTTCTATTGCCCCTCCCGCGTTGAGCAACGCCCGAGAGCGGCTCCGTCGGCACGTGTTCCTCCCCGTCGGAGCCCCTTCTGCCCGCGGGGCCGCCCTTTTGCCCCCCCTCCCCCCCTCCTCCTCCTCCTCCCCCTCCTCCTCCTTCTCCTCCTCCTCCTCCTCCTTCTCCTCCTCCTCCTCCTCCTCCTCCTCCTCCCCTCCCCCTCCCTCTTCCCCCTCCCCCCTCCTCTGCAGCCGTTGCCCACGTACGCCTCCGGTGCTCTGGGAGGGGAGGGGGAAGGCGGGAGGAGCGAAGCAGGATTTGGAGCAAAGTTGGGGGGGTGGACCTCCTCTCTTCCTCCTTCTCCGCCTCCTCGTCCTCCACCCGCCGAAGCCTCGATTTTCGATCCCCTCAACCCTCGCTCGTCGGGCCTCGCCGCGGGCGGCGGCGGCGGGGCGGGCTGGGCCAGGCGAGCCGGCCGCTGTGCCCGTTGCGGGCGAGGGCGCTACGAAGCGGCGCAGATTCCGCATCCCTGGGGACGACGGCAAAGGGCCCGCCGCGGGGGGGCGGGGGGGGCGTAGGTTGGCATCGCTCGGGCGTGTGCAGTGTGTCTCGGCAAGGACCAGCAAGGTCGAGAGGCCCAGGGGGGGGGCCCGAGACTCGGAGACATGGAGTCAACGGGGGTCACAGTCTTCGCCGATCGAGGAAGGACAGATACTGCATAAACTTCAGTTTGCTGAGGTCCGCGCGGACGTCTTCCTGGATCAGCCCTGGATCGTGAGCCAGACCAGGGGGGGGAGTGGAACGAGCGGGATGTGCAGGAGTTCCAGGGGAAGGCGGACGAGGGAAAGGAAAGAGCAACCAGGATGAGGAACGACCCGAATCCAGACCGATCCTAGGATGAGGTCCACGCTGAAGCGGCAGAGGCGGATCAGATGTTAACAAAAATCAATGGGGTTATCAATGCACGAAGTCTTGTGTGTAAAGGCAATGCTCGGAGATGGTGTTACGTTTTCCGCACAGAGTCAGGGGAGACGGGAGAGTACTATTCAGAGTGCCAATCCGTGCATGGGGAAATCTGGAAGAGGCATGGGGTCGAAGAGGAAAAAAGGAGGGATCGTGTGGAGGGAGGAGCGGGGAGAGCGAGGAGGGAGTACGAGGAAGGGCGGGAGAGGGAGGAGGAGGAAGAGGAGGAGGAGGAGGAGGTGGAGGATTGTGGGGAGAGCGAGGAGGGATGAGCGGGGAGAGCGAGGAGGGAGTACGAGAAAGGGCGGGAGAGGGAGAGGGAGGAGGAGGAAGAGGAGGAGGAGGAGGAGGAGGAGGAGGAGGAGGATTGTGGGAACAAAAAGGTTGTTTCCCGAGCCGCGGCAGAGAGAAAGGGCAGACCACGTCGGGGCAAAGGGGGAGGGGGCGGGGGGGGCTGGCCTCCGACGTCGGCTCTGCTCGGTGCCGTGTCCATGGAGATCCCGACCCCCCCTCGCAAGGGTGTTTTTTTACCTACTCGCACGTGCAGCCAAACAGGATCACAAAAGTGATGGGTACCCTTGCTGGGCAGTCGAAGGCCTGACTGTCAGACTGGATTGGGCCCCAAGGGCCACTCTGGCCCGGCCAAGCTGGATGATCTGGGTCATTCGCCAGACTGGATTCGCGTTGGCTCCCCCGCCAGATTACCCCCGTTTGCCAGATTGGGCCTGCCAGATTGGCGCCAGATTGGCTTCGACTACCCAGCCTTGCATCCTTGCAACTCGGCCCATCCTGAGCGTGGGTCGCAGGTCACAGGCCATGGGCTTCCAACTGCGTCGTCAGTCTGGGCCTCCAGGGATCACCCTCGCTGAGGCAAAGGTCGCGGCCTCGGAGGTCTGGGGCAGCGCGGTTCATGGAACCCTGGAAGCTGCGCCCGACCAGGCAACCTCACCCTCCTCACCTCGAGAGGCGAGGCGGCCGGTGAGAGAGGAGGAGGAGGAGGAGGAGAAGGAGGATGGAGGACGAGGATGGGATGTGAGAGGAGGAAGAGGGGGAAAGAAAAGGCAATGCAGAGGGGCGGTGAAGAGGATTAGAACGGGGAGAGGGAGAAGGAGGAGATGAGGGGAACGGAGAGGAGGAGGAGGAGGAGGAGAAGAAGGAGGGGGAGTAAGACCAGTTGCGATAAACCCTCCCTCCATGTTACTTCGTCAGATGTCCCTGCGAGGATTAATTTTCACTGAGCGAGGTGCCCCATTGGAAGACAATCGTCTGAAAATCCTGAACCGTGCCAGAACATTATCCCTTGTACTTCAACGTCGCGAATCAGCGTCATTGTTGCGTCCTGGATATCCTGAACCGTGCCAAAGCACCATTTCTGGGACATGCACACCGCGAATCAACAAAACTTGTGCGCCCTGTCAGTCCCACATCGCGCCCGAGCTATTTTCTTGGGACGTGAACCGCAATCAGAGTGAGGGGGGCGAACGATCATTCACTGTCCGCGGGCGCGTGGCTGAAGTGAGGTTCCGCTGTGCGGATTGTTGTAGTTGTTGTTGTCATCATCGTCGTCGTCGTTGTTGTTGTTGTCGTTGTTGGTGTTGCTGTTGCTGTTGTTGTTGTTGTTGTTGAACCCGCATTTCTGAAGGATAATTGTTGATTGATCCCCCCTCCCCTCACGAACGCTTCAGCAACCCGCCTGCTCGACCTGGCCGCCTGGGCCCGCATTGCGACCCGCCGGTTAGGGTCCACCCGCCCGATCTGCCCGTCTGGTTTTGCCACGTGTTTCTGCTTCTAGCCCCCTCTTGCTACTCTCTCTCTCTCTTTCTCTCTCGTGCTCCATTATCCTCCCTCCCCCTTGTCCCTCCCTTCCATCCGTCCTCTCGTCGCCTGCCTTAGGTCTTAGGTGCTGCACGCAATACGCATTGCAGTTAACGAAGATATACTCCCAGGGGTGTGCGATCGAAGACGAAGAGGGCGGGTATCGAGGGTTTGGGATATACGTGTTGAATGGCACGCAGCAGATAAGAGCGAGCAGTCTTACAACGATTAATGCTGCTGTTGTCGTTTTTATTGTTGTTGTGGCGGTGTTGTTCTGAAAACATCGTTACTAAAGAACAAGTCTTGATGGTCGCCTCCCTCTGGTAGCCATTGTATGTTTCAGTTGAAGTGCTTGTCCCGTGGCTCGTACCCTGTTTTTTTACAAGGAAAAGCGCGGTGCCACCAAACGTATTGTTGGCCCCAAGTTTGCAACAACAGCGGCTCCCGCCGAATATTTCTTGACAGTGTATTCACAAATCGTGCTCTCGCGCGGGTCTTCCTCACACTGTATGCAGAAGTATTGTTCTCTCATGGGGTTAATCGCAATTTATTCAGGCGCCTCGCCCTCGACACTCAGGAAGCACGCTCTCGTTATGGATGTCCCCACGAGTTATTTGGGACTCGTCCTGTCGCTCGAGGCATCCTCGCGATTCATGCAGGACGCACGCTTCAGCAACCCACCTTGACCTGGCCGCCTGGGCCCGTATTGCGACCCGCCGGTTAGGGTCCACCCGCCCGATCTGCCTGTCTGGTTCCGCCACGTATTTTCTGCTCCTAGCCTCCCTCCTGCTACTCTCTCTCTCTCTCGTGCTCCATCCTCCTCCCTCGCCCTTATCCCTGCCTTGCATCCGTCCTCTCTTCGCCTGCCTTTTGGGCTGCACGAATTACACGCTGCAGGTAAGAAAGATTCTGCTCCTAGCCCCCGTGCTCCATCCTCCTCCCTCCCCCTTGTCCCTTCCTTCCATCCGTCCTCTCTTCGCCTGCCTTATGTCTTAGGTGCTGCGCGAAATACACCATGCAGGGAAGACAGATGCGCCCCCAGGGGGGTACGATCAAAGACGGAGTCGGCGTGCATCGAGGGTTTGGGATATACGTGTTGGATGGCCCGCCAGCAGATAAGGGCGAACAGTTTCAACACGTTTGTTGTTGGTGTTGTTGAAGTCTCACAATTGAAAAATCATTATGGTTGTTACCCCCCCGGTAACATATGTGTTTTTCGAGTGCCCCTTCCCAGGGTTCGCACCCAGTTGTTCTGTCAGGGAAAGTGCTCCTGTTCAAACTGCGCTCCTGGCCCCCGGACTACATCAACAACGTCTCCTGCTTGATACGTCATAGCAGGTTTCGAAGGAACCGCACTCTCGCTAGGGACATCCTTATATACTATCCAACAATCGCGCTTTCGCTTGAGACTTCCTCGCAACGTATTCAGGCGCCACGTCCTCGCCATTCAGGAACCGCGGCCTCGCGTGGGATTTGTTTTACTTGATTTAGGAATCGCCCTCTCGCCCGAGAGACTTCTTGGCGAATTACGCAGGACGTCCTGGCATTCGCGAAACATACGTGTTTTGTTAATTCAAGTGCCCCCCCAGGGCTCGCTGTGTGTTTACCGAGTCTTCCTGCTCAACTTGTGCCCCTGGCCCCCAGTCTACAAGAACAGCGGCTCCCGCTTGATATATCCTTGCAATTCATTGAAAAGACGTGATCTCGCCAGGGACGTCCTTGCAATGTATCGAAGAGTCGCGCTCTCGCCTGACCTTTCCTTGCAATTTATTCAGGCGTCGCGCTTTCGACACGAGATTTATTTTGGAATCGCGCTGTCGCTCAGGGCTTCCTCGCGATTCCTGCAGGACGCACGTTTTAGCAGCCTGCCTGCTCGACCTGGCCACCTGGGCCCGCCTGTTAGGGTCTACCCGCCCGATCTGGCAGTCTGGTTCTCCCACGTGTTTTCTGCTCCTAGCCCACCTCCTGCTACTTTCTCACGTGCTCCATCCTCCTCTCTCCCCCTTGTCCCTTCCTTCCGTCCTCTCGTTTCCTGCCTTAGGTGCTGCACGAAATACATGTTGCAGGGAAGAAAGATATTTACCCAAGGGGACACGATCGAAGACGAAGAGGGCGGGCATCGAGGGTTCGGGGCATACGTGTTGAATGGCGCGCGAGCGGATAAGAGCGAACGGTCTTAATATGATGTTTGTTGTTGGTGGTGGTATTGCTTTTTTGGCAAGTTTCAATCTTCAAGAACAATCATTGCTGATCCCCCCCCGTCCGGTAGCCATTGCATGCTCTCTTTCCGGCGCTCGCACCCTTGTTTTTTTTCGAGGGGCAGTGTGGGGTCACCAAATTGTGCCCTTGGACCCCGGTGTACATCAACAGCGGCTCCCGCTCTATATTTCCTCACAATGTATTCACATCGCGCTCTCGCGCGGGACCTCCTCACAATTTATAGAGGATTCGCGCTCTCGCGTGGGACTTCTTCGCAATTTACTCAGAAGACGCCGCGCCCTCGACACTTAGGAATCATGCTCTCGCTGTAGATTTCTCGCGATTCATTGGGGAATCGCGCTGTCGCTCGAGATTTCCGCGCGATTCATGCAGGACTCACGCTTCAGCAACCCGCCTGCTTGACCTGGCCGCCTGGGCCCGCATTGCGACCCGCCTGTTAGGGTCCACCCGCCCGATCTGCCTGTCCTGTTCTGCCACGTGTTTTCTGCTCCTAGCCCCCGTGCTCCATCCTCCTCCCTCTCCCTTGTCCCTTCCTTCCATCCGTCCTCCCTTCGCCTGCCTTATGTCTTAGGTGCTGCGCGAAATGCACCACGCAGGGAAGACAGATACGCCCCCAGGGGGGTACGATCGAAGACGGAGTCGGCGTGCATCGAGGGTTTGGGATATACGTGTTGGATGACCCGCCAGCAGATGAAGGCGAACAGTTTCAACACGATTGTTGTTGGTGCTGTTGAAGTCTCACAATTGAAGAATCATTATAGTTGTTACCCCCTCCCGTAAGATATGTGTTTTTCGAATGCCCCTTTCCCTGGGTTCGCACCCAGCTTGTTTTATCAGGGATCCACGTTTTGAACGGCACTCGAGCAGATAAGAGCGACCAGTCTTAAAGTGATTGTGGTTGGGTACCACTTGTTTGAGAAGAATTGTTGACGCTTCGCGAATCCCCACCAGCCCATGCAGAATCGATGCACACAGGAATTGTCTCGAGCAGGGAAGTGGGCAGCGCACAGAGGAAGCCATCTAGGAGGTCATCTTGGGCTCTCCCAGGCGCTGTTGGGGTAATCTTAATAATCAGTGCCCCCCCCTAAGAGGCCAACATGTGGCTAAAACCTACGTAACATCAATAATGTGGCATTCTCGCCGAGGCCTCTTGGAGCATCTTGGGTGCCTCTGGGGGTCTCTTGGGGCCTCTTGGGGGTCTCTTGGGAGCCTCCTGGGGGCATTCTGGCGGCCTCTTGGGGCTTCCTGGCCACCTCTTGGGGCTCTCTTGGGGCACCTTTGGGAGCCTTGGGGGCCATATTTGGGCCATATTGGGTGAGATCGATCACAGGAGGGGGGGGTACGAATTACAGCCCCCCCCCCACAGGAGGCAAAAATGGGCCAACACCCTAGTAAAGCCAATGATTTGGGCTTCCTCGCCGAGGCCGTTTTGGACGCTCCGACGACTCGCGAAACCCCCCGTCCAGGTCCAGGGGAGGGGGTAGGGGGAGGGGTCAAGACACCCCCCCCCGCCCGCAAGCCGTCTCGCTCACTCCCACCCGCCCTCCCAACACATGGGTAGCACCCGAGTCTGGCCCGAGCCTCAGCATATTCAGCAGTCGTCTTTGGATGGGTAGCTACTGGGGGCCAATCCGCTGCCGCCACCGCCACCTCCGCCGCCGCCGCCGCCGCCGCCGCCGCCCCTGTACTCTGTATTGGTTTTTTGACAGGGATGGTGAGGAAGGGCGCATCGGGTTGGTTGCGCATGTTCCGAATTTGGCGGCTGAATGTGTTTTGTAGTGTTTTTTTTAAGGGATTGTGGGGGGGAGGGTTGGCATGGACCTGGGTTGGCCCCCCAGTCGCCTGGGGGAGGGCGTGTTTATTACTAGGGAACAGTGACAAACCCCTCCCCGAAGGGGCAGAAGGAAGGGAGGACGAGGAAACTCCCTAAACCACCGACGCCCAGAGGGCTGGTGGAATTATTTCGGATTTCTCTTGACCAGTGCACATGTTGTTTCTTCACCTGACCCCCCCCCCCCTCGGAGTTCGCACCCTTCTTTAACTAGCGAAAGTCTTCGTTTACAAACTGCGTCGTTGGGCCCCGAACTACAGCACCAACAACGGTTCCCGCCTGACAGTTCCTCATAATGTATTCAAAAATCGCGTTCTCGCGCGGGATGCTCTAACAATTCACGTTGGAATCGCGTCCTCGAGTGGGATGTTCAAGTTCTTCAGACGCCGCGCACTCGACACTCAAGACTTACGCTCTCGCCTAGGCTTTTCTCACGATGTACTTGAGAATCGCGCTGTCGCTCCAGAGTTTCCAGCGCTTCATGCAGGACTCACGCTTCAGCAACCCGCATTCACGACACGGCCGCCTGGGCCCACCTTCCCGACCCGCTCGATGGGGGTCTGCCCGCCCGATCAGTCTGTATCGTTCTGCCACGTGCTTTCTGCTCCTAGCCCCTTCCTGCTAATTTTTCTCGTGCTCCATTTTTCTCGCTCCCCCTTTCATTCGTCATTCTTTCCCCTGTTTCAGGGGCTGCGCTAAATACGCGTGGCACGCAAGGAAGATATACCCCCAAGGTGGTAGGATCGAAGACGGAGGGGGCGGGTGCCGAGGGTTTGGGATATACGTGTTGACTAGCACGCGGACAGATAGGAGCGAACATTTTTAAGTTGATCAATAGTGTTGTTGTTGTTGTTGTTGTTGTTGTTGTTGTTGTTGTTGTTGTTGTTGTTGTTGTGGTTGTGGTTGTGGTTGTGGTTGTGGTTGTGGTTGTGGTTGTGGTTGTGGTTGTGGTTGTAGTTGCCGTTGCTGTTGTTGCTGTTGTTGTTGTTGTTGTTGAACATTATTTCTTCTTAAGAATAATTATTGTTGGGACCCCTGGTGCGCGACCCCCCCGCCGCGCCTAGGCCGCAGCCTCATTTTCATTATTTTCGTGAGGAAGTCTCAGGTAAAACGATGTCATCCAGATCCGGTTGTTTTGTTGACACCCGCTTTCCCTTGCAAAAAACACTATAAAATGAATTTCTTGTTCTAACATAATCCAAACTTCAAGAATCCCTTGCAAAAAATAAGGTAAAGTGGACATTCGCGCGCGCAAGACGAAATCCTTCCAAAACCTTAGTTTTCGTAGCGATTTTAACATAAAAACATCAAAAAACCAATGGTTTTTCAAAAAAAATTGTCAAAATTTCATCCCGCGCGCTCTTGCGGATTCGTAGGAAACCCAACACTTTTTAAACATTTCTGTCAAACGGGCTTTTGCGAGCAACTTTTTCGAACTTCTGCAACAACGGTTGCGCACCTGCCAGGGCCATCATCCCTGTCAAATAATACCATGCGGGACACATTCGTTTTTTCTTCGCGCGCGCACGCCGTCGTCGTCGGCCGCGGGGCCCTGAATAGTAGCCACGGTCGTCCGCATGCCACGAAGTGAAGTGTCCGAACGTCATAGGGCGGGAAGCTGGGTGTGGGTGGTGGCGAAGAGTCGTATGGAAATTTGGTAGAGCTTGAACCGGCCCCCCCACAAAGTGGGGGTATTGCCCGCCTCCTATGAAAACCCTGGCACTGGTGAGAACGGAGTGTCCCCAGTCTTAAATGATTGTTGTTGTTGTTGTTGTTGGTGTTGGTGTTGGTGTTGTTGTTGTTGTTGTTGTTGTTGTTGTTGTTGTTGCTGCTGGTGTCGTTGCGTTGTTTGTTGTCGTCCTCCCACCCGCGACCTGGCCCGCGACCAACCAACGACCCACACGCGACCCACCCGTGACCCAACCGCGACCCACCCTCGACCCACCCGCGACTCCTCCTCACGACGGGTGCGCTTCACCGACAGCCTGCCTGGCCCCTACGCCCCCGACGACGACGAACCTCCCGACAGCAGGCCTATTCGGCGCGTGCGAACTCGTCGAGGCGCCATAGACTGCACCAGCCACCCACCCACGCGGGGATGGATGGCTAGCGCGGACAGGGAACAGCTGCAGCGTGCAGCGACGACCCCGCCGAGTGATTGGTAAACTCCGACCCCTCCTCCCCCTCCCCCGCCGCATGGGCAGCCGGCCCGTGTCACGGGCTGGGCCCATTTTTGGACCGCCATCTTGACGCGCCCACGCGGAGGCCTCCCCTCCCAACCCCACAATTCCCCACGACGCCACCACCGCCTCCATGTACACGGACGCCGGCGTCGTCGACACGGCCCTGAGGGGCCGGCACCAGCCCAGGAAAGGGGGGCGAGGGCTTCTAAGGGGGGGGAGTTTTGGGAGGAGAACGCCGCTGACCGGCAGTCACCTAGGGACATCCTCGCGGCCAGCATTGCCTGCGCAGTCTTTCTGTTTTCCCCCTCCCTCCGCCGTCCCGCCCTCTCTCTTTCCTTGCCCCCTCTTTTTCCTCCAGGGGTGCTGCGGTGGCCTTTCTGGGCTTGGGGGGTCCCGTCCCCCCTCCTCTTATCTAGCTCCGTCGTGCCTGCAGCCCCTTCCGGTCCCTTCTCCACTCCTCCTCTAGGGGAACGAAAAATGACATACAGTCGGGGCCGTGAAGAAGGAACCCTTTTCGTTGGGGAGGGGCTCCGTGTTCCTTAATTGTTTCGCAGCTTGCCTTGGATTTTCTTTAGGTTTTCGATGCGAAATCGAAGTTCAACTTATGGAAAATAGGGGCCTCGTTCCTTATTTAGGGTTCCTGAGGTCAACGCCTCGGCTGTAAACATAAAAACTCGGAGCTCCGCGCGGATTTCTTGGATCCGCGCTGGACCCCCCTCCCTGGCGCGCGCAGCGCGCCAGGGGCGGCGCCAGAGGCGCCGACAGGGGGCCCCAGCGCCGATCCGAGAAATCCGCGCGGATCTCCGAGCTGTTATGTTTATGTCATTGTTCGTTCCCCTATCCTCCCTTCTCGTCCTCCCGTTCCTCTCCCTCGTGTCGTCCTCTGGTCGGTGTTCCTCTGGGGTCCCCCCCCTTCCGAGCCGTTTGGCGGCCGCGAGCGGCCCGCGCTCATATGCTCCCCCCCTCAGCCCGCAAAGCCATGCGGCGCTGGGGTTCACCACCTACCAAACCACCCCAACCCAACCCGAAGGCCTCAATTTGCCCTCCATTTCCAGTGGGGGGGGGTGGGGGAACGTTGAAAAAACACATGGAGCCCGTACCCCCCCCCAACCTGAAATTCGGGTCAAATTCGGGTCTTCGGGTTGGGTTGGGGTGGCCTGGTAGGTAGTCAGGGGTGGTCGAGGGCCCCAGACTCCGACGAGCCACAGCCGCCCGGCGTCCCGGGCTCCGAGGCGGAGTGGGGGGGAGGCCGGCGGAGAGGGACGAGGCTCAAGTCGGGCCTGTCCCCCTCCAGGGGGATGTTCGACGACGAGTCAAAAAAAACAGAAATAGGCCAAAAGGATTCTGAACAATAATACAGAAGTAGTCCCCAGACTATTGTTGTGTATGTTTGAATATCCTCCTGTAGAGGGAAGGGCACGACTTAAGAGGGTGCAGGAGACCCCCCCCCCGTGGGCGGCGCCAGGGCGGCAGTGCCCGCCGCGCAGCCAGGGCCGCCGAACCCCGCCGCCGCCGCGGCGGCGCCCGCCGCCGCGGCGGCGCCCACCGCCGCCGCGGCGCCCGCCGCAGGCGCCCCAGTGAGCGGCAGTGTACAGACACACTCTTACTCCAGGCCTTCTGACGATGCATCGCCGATGCATCGGCAATGCATCAGGGATGCGGCGCGATCCTCCGACCCCATCTACTGTCCCTGTTTGGGAGGCCTTTAGATACGTAGTGCAGGTGCGCGATTCCAAAGTGTACCCTTCTTGCATGCTTTCCCTTCGGTCCATCCTTGGCCACTTTCGTTGGCCGCGCCGAGATCGAACAGTTCTGGAATTGCCTCCAGGGCCTCTGCATCCTTCTCGTGAATCCTTACTGCTTGTCTTGATTGTATTCGCTCCGCAGCGGGGGCTTCTGGTTGCGTGTCTGGTTGCGTGTTATCCGCTCCCGAACCAAGCCCCATCGCGGGGCAAGCTTTTTGTCACGGGGTGGCACGCCCCGTCCCAGCCACCCCCGCTGTGCGACGTAGACGCGGCTCGTAATCAATCAGCAGAGATCGAGAGCTGTCGAGCCATGCCCGATGTGGGAAGTCCTGTTTTTGTTGGGGGGATCGGGGGTCGATTGTCGCGCAACCAGCGTCGCCTCGATCGATGGGCGACTTGCACAGTTAGGCTGCATATTCGGGGGGCGTCAGACAGTGAAATTTTCAGGCCCGTAGCGGCAATGTTACTGTCAAAAGACGTGGAGGAACCGACTTTGTGTCAACCCAGAACATGTATTTTGGGAGTTTTTGCGCTCAGGTCCAAGCCTAGGAGCCAGGAAAAACACACAAAGGAAATTCACACAAAGGGTTTTGGCACCACCAACGGTGCAACGCATGTGCACACATGCCACAGGATCCCCACCGATCCGAACCAGGGTTGATGCACGGCCGTGCTCTAGGATGCAGTTGACATGTATGGCGTGGCAAGGCTGTCGGCGGCGACAAGATCCTAATATCCGCTACCAACAAACACCCCATGGTGGTTTGGCACAACCAAACCACCGTGCAACGTCAGTTTGTTCATCCGTTGACAGCAGCACGCGTCGCGGCAGCAGAACGCAGTAGCGCGCGCGGGCATGCCGGGCCGGCGATGTGGCTGGCCAGCTGCCAGCGCGAATTCGGCAGAAGAGCCGAACTCCACGTAGGATCGTTTTGGGCGTGGTATCCGGCGCAGCTGCATCGCACTGCCAAGCGCCGCGGCCTTGTGATTGCAGCGCCAGGCCCCGCGCGCTCCTCGAGGCGGGAGAGCAAGCTCTACACAAAGGAATCGCGCGTGCTCTTGTGGGGGCGGCGAAAACGATCGTACACAAAGGAAATTCCTTTGTGTGCCCCCCGCGTTGGCAGTGTAACCAGACCGTACACAAAGGAATTACGCGAGACTTCGTGGCACACAAAGGAATTACAGCAACGCCCTTTGTTTGGGTTACGCTCTTCGCGCGCGGTGACAGCTCCGAACTGGAAGAGAAGGGGGGGCGGGACAAGGCAAAGCAGGGGAAGAGGAAAACGAAGAGGAGGGCGAGAAAGAAGCGAAGGAAGCAACGGAAGGAAGCCATGATGCGCGCAAGCGAAGCTAACGCTGCGCGCCGAGACAGTTGTTCGTTCGTTCGGTTGGCCGTGCGGCCGATGCATAGGAAAAGAATTGTTTGCTGCATATCGAAGAGACTTCTTGGGAATGAAACTCGCGCTCTCTTCCCAACCCCCTTTCCCACGCCCCGTTGCGTGCGCGCGACGATTTGTTCTGGCCCGCGGGCAGAGGACTGCCAGTTGCTGGTGAGCGGCCTTTCCACCCGTCACCTGTTCCGAACAAGTGCGACCAGCTAAACGCGCTTGCCACGCAAACCGCCAGCTCCAAACACCGACGCCACCCCGATCCCCGCATCCGTGCCAGGCACCCTCTCAACGACGCCCCATTCCAGCGTAGAACCAATAAAACCCTTTGTGTTTATGTGTTTTTCCTGTTCTGACAAGCAGGCTCCCTTCTAACAGTCTCAGCACTTACTCGCGTGAATAGAGCTCTACGAGCCCTGTGTTTTTTTGTGCCCGACGCTGGTTCGGCCCAGAAGGTGTTGCAGCACGCCAGAGGGAGCTGGTTGTCAGAAGCTGGAGGGGATTCTGAAGGCATTCGGCGGATCTCCACTGATCGTCTGCTCACTCACCGCCTGGTGCAAGGCTCTACCTGACCTGGCGCCTGGCCCAGGAGCGTGCGGATCCGCTACCTTGGGCATGTCGCCGATCTATCGTCGATGTATCGCCGATTGCAGGTCAGTGTCCCCCCCCCCCGGAGCCTGCCCTCCCCCCCCTTAACGTTGCCCCTCAAAGGAGGGGGAGGAGGAGGGAATCAGGGGCGGCCTAACCGACCCCCAGCGAACCATCCCCTTCCGTGACGTCCCTCTCGCCTCGCCCCAAGGCGTATAAATGCACCCGGAAGGGAGCTCGAAAGGCGAGGATGACGTCACTGAAGGGCATGGTTTGCGAGGGGTCGGCTCTAGGCCGCGCCCGAGGGAAAGGGAGAGCAGGGAGCCCTCGGCAGTCCCCGGGACTGTCAAAAGCTAATCAGTCGGGGCTCAAGAGTGCAAACGGGGGTCAGTCAGAGCGCCGTTGTTTGCAGGGTCCTGCAGGGCCAGGGTCGCATTGACCCGGGCTTGGGTGCAGGATCCTGCAGGATCCTGCAAGGCCTGACTGACCCAGGTCTCGATTGACCCGGGTCAGAAGATCCTCGAGTCAGGATGAATGTTATCCACTTCCGGGGGGGGGGGGGGGGAGGTCCAGACTTCTGGTCGTGGGCGAGGGGCAGAGCGTGCCCGTCCCCGCGGCCTCGCGGGCCGAGGCCTCCGTAAGGGTCCTAGCGGAGTCATATGGCTAGGTGAGGTTTGCCACCGATTCCCGCGGCCCGCCCGGGTGCCCGGGTGCCTTATCGCCCTATTTTCCTGTAGACCTATAGCCCGATAGCATTAGCCCTACAGCCTTACAGCCCTATAGCCCCGTAGCCCAATCGACCTATAGCCCTATGGCCCTATCGCCCGATAACAATATAGCCCTATCACCTTCTTGCCCTATAGCCCAATAGCCCTATAGCCCGAAAGCCCTACAGCCCCATAGCCCCGTTGCCCAATAGCCCTATATCTCTATAGCTCGAAAGCAGCATAGCCCAAAAGCCCTATTGCCCCATAGCCCTATAGCCCTACAGCACTATAGCCCCATAGCCCTATAGCCCTATAACCCTATATCCCTATAATCCTATGGCCCTATAGCCTTATAGCCCTACAGGTCTATAGCCCTATAGCCCTGCAGCCCTACAGCCCCATAGCCCTATATCCCTATAGCCCTATAGCCACATGGTCCTATAGCCCTATAGCTGCACAGCACTATAGCCGCATCGCCCCATAGCCCAATAGCCCCATAAAGATAGCTCTAAAAGGACTTTGGTCGGGGCTTTTCTCCATAGCCTTATAGCCGTATAGCCCTATAACCCTATAGTCTTATAGCCCTATAGTCCCATAGCCCAATCGCCCTAGAGCCCTATAGCCCAATAGCCCTCTAGCCCTACAGCCCTATAGCCCTATATCCCTATGGTCCTATAGCCGTATAGCCGAGTGCGCCCATAGCCATATAGCCATATACACATATAACACACAGTCCTATATCCCCGTAGTCCTATAGCCCTATGGTCCTATAGCTAGCCCTATATCCCTATAGCCCTATGGTCCCCTTGCCTCATAGCCCTGTAGCCCCATCGCCCCATAGCCCTATAGCCCAATAGCCCTAAAGACGCATAGCCCTATAGCCCCAGAGCCCCACAGCCCTGCAGCCCTGCAGCCCCATGGCCACATATCCCTTCAGCCCTATAGCCCTATAGACCTATAGCCCTATGGCCCCATAGCCCTATAGTTCCATAGCCCTACAGCCCCATAGCCCCATCGCCCAATAGTACCATAGCCCTGTTGCCCTAAACAGATTTTTTGATTGGGGCTTTTCTCTGGTATCATACTATCTTGTCCGGGGTGGGACAAGTCCAGATTTTTGGTCGTGGGCGAGGAGCATGCCCGTACCCGCGGCCTCGCGGGCCGGACACTTGTCGGGCGGGGCACCGCGGATAGGGGGCGAGTAGGGGATCGATCCAGTAACCGATGCACTCCAGAATAATGTTCTCAAGAGTCTTGAACAAAGCATTTTACGTATAATGCTTGTATATTAAGAAGCGTATTACGTTGTTGTGATTGATATAATCGACAAAGATCTGAATTTCGAGGTACACCAATTCTGTAGTCCATCTCTTCCTGGAGAGGGGCTGGTTCGGGGCGGGTGTCCCGCGCGGAACGTATCCGTACCAAAGCGTATCCGGGGGATCTCGCCCCAGAAGTCGGTCCGCGAGGGAACGCCGCTCATGATCGGAGTGTGTTTGTTGTGAAGAAAACGGGACGTCGGAGTTGTCGGAGAGGAGACGATGGAAGGAGGAGGATGCCAGGCTTAAGGGCGCGCTTTAGGTTACTTCCAGGGCATGTCCCGCAGCTCCTCCGCCGCCTTTTCAAACAGAGCTGCGTCGAGAGGGCGTGCAAGCCCAGCCTCGCCTCTCCCACCCCCCCCACCTTCACGCGAACTGCCGTAGCCCACAGAAGAGCTCCTGCCCAGACATGCGATGTCCTGATTCTTGCAACACCGGGGCCCCAGAAGTCCCGACCCTTCCCTGGGCCAGCTTTTCATCCTGAACCGTTCGTTGTCGGTCCCAAGGCCCTGTGAGGGACCCCCGAGGCCGAAAACGGTGAACAAAACTCCCGCCGTGATTTTCTCACGACGCGAACACGACTGGGTGCCTCAGTCGGCCCTGATTTAGTAGGTCGGCCATGCCAAATCGAGCGTACCCTTGTGTCCTGTCTATCCCGACCTGTGCAACCCGCATCTCCTCTGGTGTTCTGGGGCCACGTTGCCATCGGAACACTCTTGTGTCCCCTGGGGTCCTGTCCAGTCAAGTGCGACTGTAGCGGCATCGGCACCTTCCTGGCTCCGCAGTCGAGGTCCCGAGTCCACCCCCTTGTGACACGGGTTACGTGGGACGTCGCCTCTCGACGAGGGGCTCGCCGGGCGCCGCGTAAGGCGGGGGGTGAAGGCGGCCACGGGGGCCCCAGAAGTCCCGACCATCCCCGGGAACCAGCTTTTCATCCTGAACCGTTTGCTGACAGTCCCAGGGCCCTGTAATGGACATTGAAGGCCGAAAAAGGCGACCCCTAGAGGACCCTGTAAGGGACCCGGTAGTTAAGGGACCCCAGGGGCTCGTCGGGCGCTGCGTAAGGGGGGGGGGAAGGCGGGCACGTATGGGTACTAATCCAGCGCCTCCGTCGAAGCCTCCTCGGTGGTCGTCGCCGTGGCCGCCGCCCTCGCCGCGGCCGCTGGCGGGATCGCCGCCCGCCGGAGCGGCCGGCGTCCGCAGAAGGCCCCGCGGGCGCCCGCAGAAAGCCGGCGGCCGCGGCGGGGGCCGACGAGCTGGTGCCGCGCACTCCGGCGGGAGGGCAGTGGGCTTTCAGGCAAGAGCTTGGTGGTTCGGTACTTCCGTCTTCAGGAGTACATTAGCGTCGACTAGCGTCTGGTAGCCGATGACATGTCGTCGATGGAGCCTCGATTCGCGTCGACTCAGCGCCGAGTAATGTTGTCTAGTGCCGATCCGCAAGAGCCAACAAGATGATATGGGAGGATCCCCTGAGTTGCCGCAGAAACTTGGATCGGCGCGGGGGTCGCTGAGGGTGAAATGTGGCTTACAGTGGATGCCAAGGAGGGTTGCATCTGGCCTGTGATTACAAGTGCCCAGAGCCCGGCAGTATAGCCCAGATACGCACCGCCCCTTGAGCCGCTCGTGGCGCTTGCAGCCCACTCCTCAGCAACAGTCAAGACGCTGAGACATGGACCCCGTTGGGCTCGGGGGGTGGCTCTGGTGTTTGGACCGTGCCCTGGGGCGCAGGTCGGGGGGGTACTGCTCGTGGCCAGGGCTCGCTGGGGCCAGAAAGGCCATGTCTTCGCTTCTTGTGTTGTGTTCTGCTGGGTAGCACGATGGCTGTAGATAAGGTCAGACAGGGCCCACATGAGCATCCACCGGCAGCTCCATGATGTCCTTCGCACCTCCCGCGCCGATTCTAAGCAGACCAGGCATTCGCAGAGAGCCCTGTGGGGGAGGAGGAGAGGAGGAGGAGAAGGAGGAGGAGGAGGAACAGGAGGAGGAGGAGGAGGAGGAGAAGAAGGGGGAGGATGAGAGGAGGAGGAGGAGGAGGGGAGGATGGAGGAGGAGGAGGAGGAGGTGGAGGAGGAGGAGGAGGAGGAGGAGGAGGAGGGGGAGGGGGAGAGGGATCAGGGGGGAGGAGTGGAGGAGGAGGAGGAGGAGGAGGAGGAGAGGAGGAGGAGGGAGGAGGAGGAGGAGGAGGATGAGGAGGAGGAGGAGGAGGGAAGAGGAAGAGGAGGAGGAGGAGGAGGAGGACGAGGAGGAGGAGGAGGATGAGGAGGAGGAGGAGAGAAGGAGGAGGAGGAGATGAAGGAGGAGGAGGGGGACAGGGGGAGGAGGAGGGGGAGGAGCGAGGAGGAAGAGGAGGAGGGGGAGAGGAGGAGGAGGAGGAGGAGGAGGAGGAGGAGGAGAAGAAGAAGGGGGAGGAGGAGGGGGGGAGGGATTGAGGAGGGAGGAGGAGGAGGAGGAGGAGGAGGAGGAGGAGGGGAGGAGGGAGGAGGGAGGAGGAGGAGAGGAGAGGAGGAGGAGGGAGGAGGAGGAGGAGGAGGAGGAGGAGGAGGAGGGGAGGAGGAGGGGGAGGAGGAGGAGGAGGAGGAGGAGGAGGAGGAGAGGAGGAGGAGGAGTAGGAGGAGGAGGAGGAGGAGGAGGAGGAGGAGGAGGAGTGAGGAGGGCTTGCACGCAGTGCTTGCTCGAGAAGTTGCAGTTGGTTCTGTCTCACCGCGGAAAGAGAGTGTCGTGGTGTCGTCGAGATTGGAAGACTTGGGAGGAAAACCAGGAAGCCCAGGGCCTTCACGTGGAGGGGGATCTAGGCCTACAAGATGGGGTCGGAGTGGATGGGGTCGGGGGATCGCGCCGCATCGCCGATGCATCGACGATGCGGCTCGTTGCATAGACCGTGTTTCTCCACGCCGACGTCGCCGATGCATCGCCGATGTCGTCGATTCATCGCCGATGCATCGCCGATGCATCGTGATGCGTTTGCTATGCGGCGCGATTTTTGGACTCCATCTGCTCGGATCCCATCTAGGAGGCCTCTAAGTTCGAAGAGTTGGGAGGTCGAGTGAGAAGGCAGGAGTGTCCTCCCTTCAGGGCCTACGGGGGGACGGGCGCCCGCGCGCGCGCCCGGTCGGTCTGTTCTTTCCGGCTCTGTCCACTCCGGCAGATTAGGCATTCCCTCTCACGCGGAGACACTCCTTTACAGCTCCCGGCGCATGTAGATTGCAGAGTGTGGGCAAGAGAACGAAGCCCAACGCAGCTCGCGACTCCGGGCCCATGCTCAGCCTTGCAGAAGGGATGCTGCAATCCTTTGTCTGCGGGGGAGGGGCGCGCCCGCGAGAGCCAGGGCCACGGCCTTCCCCCTCAAGTCAAGCTGGCGGCAGCGCGGGGACGGCAAACACCCCGAATGGGAAGGACGCCCAGCGCCTGCGCCCCAGAGCACCTGGAACCCCCTGACGCACACCCGACGCCCCTGTTCCTGCAAGCGAGCTCCCTCGGGAAGGAACTCAGCCTGGGTCTTGAGGGAGGAGCAGGAGGATCGAGGAGGGAAGGCCTCCTCCTTCGCTCCTCCTGCTCATGCCCTTCCTGCCTCCTTCACCTCCCTCGCTTCCACGGCGCTTCCATCTTCCCCTGACCCGCCTCATGCGTCCCATGAGAGGGAGGAGTCCCTCGTTCCCCCGTCCTCCTCGTCCTCCACCTCCGCAGCGGGCCCTTCAGAGGACGAAGTTGATGCCGGCGTATGTTTTCATCGACCCTTTCCTGGGCGGACTGGCTTTCACTGTCGGGTCGTTGTGTGATTGTCACGTTGCCCTGCAAGGGCGCCCGGAGGCAGGGGATATGGGTCCCCAGGTCAGAAAATTGCTCTTCCGGACGCATGTTGGGGCGCGTTTTGGCCAGCGTCTCAAGGGGGATCCGATGGCGACGAGCCGCCCTCTGGAGGCCCAGAGAGCACGAGAAGGTGCAAGAGTCTGGATCACCGCCGTGGGAGGAGAACTCATCCGTGATCGCGCCCCGGAGCCCAGACCGCGAGGTCGTGGATATGGACACGTTTGCCGCTCATGACACGGAAGCTCGACCCGTCCCACCATGTGGTTTGATGGGGTCATGGCTTCCCCGCGCCCCCGCACGTCCACAGGGCCACGGTAGGCGAACGTGTTCTCCGTGCCCACGGGGGCACCGTCGGACGCCTACTCGCGAGGCGGAGGCGGCGGAGGAGGTGGTCCTCCTTCATTTCCTCTCCTCTAGCCCCTCCTCGTTCCTCTCCTTCACCATCCCCCCACCGCTCCGTCCCCCTCCTGCAGGGCAAGGAGCAGAAGGAGGACAAAGGGGGGAGA